TACCTAGCCGACACCAGAAGAAGGTAACCTATGAAGCAGCACTATTGCTCTACGCAATAGTCACCAACACACCGGTTGATGAGGCTGAAGTAATCAGGGAGCAGATAAGCTCCTGCGCTTCCAACCCCAGGAGGAAGTCCTGGTTCTTTCCGGTCCTTATTACCAGGCTCATGGAGCGAGCCAATGTGCAATTCCTACCCACAGATTTCAGGAAGGAACTCAAACGGCCATGGCATTTGGAGAACCCACCATATCCCTCTTTGAGGGGATAAAATTGCAATCACCCAGAGAAGTCTTTAGTTTTAGTTTTTCTTTTTCTTTTCTTTTATTTTCTATTTCATATAATTAGATCTAGTTTTTGTGTTTTTCTTTTTTGAGTCTATGCATCTAGAGTCCTTAGGCTAGATTGAGTCCACTTTGTATGATGATTTTTCTGATTTCAGTAAAATTACATGCTTAGTGTTTGTGTTTGTTCTTCCCCTGCATCTCTGTTGTAAGCATTGAGGACAATGCTTATTTTAAGTTTGGGGGAGGGATTGTGTGTTTATTGCATGTTTTAATTATGACAGTAATCAAATTTTGGAAAATTTTGAAAATTGAATTTTTGTAGATTGTGTGCAACTACGAATTAGTTGATGTATATACAGTATCAAAAATCTATGATGATTAAAACGTGTGCGGGAAATTTGAAAATTTTGAACACTTGTTGATTCACTTGAAATCTGTACTGCAGTTCTTCACTTTCTCGAGCACAATATGTCACTTGCCAAAGTGAGAGTTTTGAACTTAATGCTATAATATGAATGCCTTAATTACATTGTTGTGATCTTATACTGGAGTCCACTTGTCTGAAACCTGGGGGTACTGTAAACATGAGTGAAGACTAAGGCAACTCTTCGCATTCGCATCATGGCAGACTCTGTAAGAGCCCATGGTGGTGTGTAAATTCCTAAAAACTTAGGAAAAGGGGATTGGTAGGCGGTTGAATTGAAAAGAAAAATCTAAAATGAGGGAAGTTAGGAAGACTGTCCAATGAGGCAGTAATACCGCTGAGTGTTTAGGTTTGGCAAACTAGTAGAGAGAGTCCTCAGGCCCGGTGAGGAAAAATCAGAAAGATGAATAAACTACCCTAAGTTGTCGAACCACTGTAAGAAATCACTATAGAAACTTAGTGGAAAAATGCTCAAGGAGAAATACTCTAAGTTGCTGAGCCACTATGGAAATATGCTCCGAGCAATATGCCCTAAGTTGCTAAGCCACTATGAATAGAAAATTGAGTGGAAATATATTCTGGGTAGGGGCCTGAGTTAGAAAAATCCAGAAGAAAAGCCATATGGACAAGGAGAAAAAGGGTTGAGGGAGAAATAAGGTGCAACCAATGTTGCTGCAGAATCTGTGAGGAAGTCCTTAGAATCTAAAAATCTCAGTAAGAATACCCTAATTGATGACATGCAAGAAGTAGGTACTGATCACAATGATGTCCATTTGTTCTTAAACTGATTAATTCTTAGAATGGATCATAGGTAAAAAATTGAATTTTGGCTGTGATATATGCACATACACACTGAAGAACTGTGATACTGCTTTTTGTTGATTTAGTGTATAATCTATCTAGTGAGGGACTTGAATATGAGATTAAAATTGACACAATGTTTGCATCTACTTCTGTTCATTTAGCCACATTCATTTTCGATCACTTGCATTACTTTTATCCATGAAAATTAGTAATATCTCTTCTTCTTTCTGTGTTTAGGTCAATAGGAATGTAGCATGAATCTATTTGCTAAAGGATCAGTAAAATTCTAAGTTTGGGGGTGTTACTCGGGGACAAGCAACAATTCAAGTTTGGGGGCATCTGATGACGCAAAAAATATATACCCTTTTATCAGACATTTCTTAGTCATTTCTACTAATAATTTAGTGTCAATTAGTTAGGAATAGTTTACTCTTGGGGTGATTTTGCAGTTTAGGTATCTCAAGGGGCCAAGATAGAAAATCAGCATAAATGACGGCCAAATTGCACTAAAAGGCATAAAAAAGGACTGAATTGGAAGCTACTGGAAGGACTTATCAGAGCTGGAGCAAGTGCAGAAATTCTTGCTAAGGAAGGAAGATTGATAGTAGATGGATGCAAGTGGAAGAATCTGCTGCAGCATACTCAATCTAGAGGAAGAATGGCAGCTGCCATGCTGCCTGATTGCTGCTGCAGTAGCCGTTCCTGCTATCAATCAAAGAGGAGCCCCTAGCTAAACTCTTGGTGCCCGAGGAAGGAAATTGTTTTGCCATCACTGCAAGTTGTTGTTGTAGCAAGTAGAAGAAGAGAAAGAGGGATAATATGTGATAAGCAGCAGCTGCAACTCTGCTACTTATCCAATGATGCTGCTGCTCAGTTGATGGATTGGCTGCTGCATAAGAGTGAGCAATGGTATAGCAAGTGACCCAGGAAATAAGGAAGAAAAGGACAGAAGATTCAGGCTGAATATGGGGGCTGAAGACATAATGATGGAAGAAAGCATGCTGCTGCTTGCTACTGCCCATGCTGAGGATTAAAGAATGAAGAAATAGAGACTTGTGGCTGGGAATTGGAGCAGCTGCACTGGAGAAGAAGACTAAGGGAAGAATGCAATGATGAAAGGAAGGTGGTAAATTGCGGCTGAAGAAGAAGAAGTACAAAGAGAAGACTGCAACTTGCCAAGTAGGCAAGTTGCAGAATAAACAAATCTCCTATGATGCAAGTTGCTGCCTCACCTTTCTGTTGTAGAGAAGAACGCCAGAAACTCCACCAATCCAAGCCTCTCCACATCTCTATAAATAGCCAGCCAATAGCAGTTAGAAAAACAACAGATTAGGTAGTTAGATTTAGTCCAAAAGAAAATAGTTAAGTAGTAGTTAGTTGGTTAGAAACAGGGTAGTAGCAGGAACAAAGCAGACTGATACTCTGTCAAGTGGCGGACGCCACTCGCCATAGTGAGCATATAGAACTGTCCTCGCTACCATCTTTCCTTTCTTTCCTCTAACCTTATGATTAGGATTCATGTCCTATCTTTTGTAATCTGCTACTCTCATGCTTAACTCAATAAGCATGAGTAGTTAACTCAGTTAAAAGTTCAATCCCTACTATTTTTTTGAGAAGGTTTTGATTCAGTTACTTGATGAGGTGTTGTGCCTAGATAAACGATTTAATGTACCTTTTAGTTAACTTGATCAATTAATTAAAAGTGCATGCATGGTTATGAAGATCTGAAGGGGGTGCATAACCTTAGAACTGTTTAATCTAGTCTATGACAGAGGAGGAAATCCACCCTTTGGTTTCATTCACCAGCAGCAGTTCAGTGGTGGCGTAGGAGATCAATAAGGGCTTAGGAACTTCATGGCTTAGATTAAATAAGACTCTGACTGGGTTTATAATCTAGGACTCTTTATTCTATCGGGAAGAAATTATAAAGACACATAGGTGCCTGATCGAACAACTAATCATACACTACAGGAATATTGAATTTCAAAACTGGATCATAAAGGTAGGAAGGTGATTGACCCTTCTGCCTCTTCAATCTGTCAAATGACTATTCGCACTCTCCTAAGTGACAATCTGTTCAACTAGTTCTTTTCTTTTCTGCATTTTAATCAGATTTTAAGCGGTTGACCGCCGTCTCTGTGGAACGACCCTGCTTACCACTAGCTAATAGATTTTTAAGTAGGTTTATAAATTATTCTTTTGGGAAGTGATTCCAACGACAACACAAAAATCGTCTCACCACCAACTTCTAATTGAGCTGCTTATTTGATTAGATTCCTTCCTCCTTAACCATTTCATATGGAAAAATGTAAAAGCCTTCTGGAAAACATACACATCCTTTTGGTCTTTCAAAAAAACCATTTAATTTTACAAATTCCCACTCAAAAAAACTTTTACTAGTCTCTTTGTGTATACAATGTTATTTTAGGAATTTCTATGTATTTTCTGGCCTTTGGTCTTTTTGAAGAGATGGATTTGTCCTTCTTCTGGAATTCATTGGTCCTGTGTTTTTCAGTATAGAGCCCCCCAACTTTTACTTTAATTTACAATTATTAATAATTCTAAGACATTTTTCCATTGTATAGTTTAGTAGAAATAATTGATAATTTATACCAAAAGAAAAAATAATTTAAAATAACTCTGTCCTCTTCTTTTTGTAATTGTTTTTGGAAAGAAAATTGGAATATTCAGACAGAGTCGAGAAAAACAAAGACCTTGACTGAAAAAGACCAAATCATTTTTCAGTTACAGTCAACTTATAATTATTCTTTTTTTATTTTATTTTTAAAGAGAGTTCTTGGTTGTCTACTTGTATACTTTTCCAGAGATAATTGAAATTATTGGAAACTGAATATTGAAAAAAAAAGAAAACAAAAACAAAAAATAAAAGTTCATTAAACTTTAAAGAAAAGAAAATAAAATAAAGACCAAAAGTGGCAAATTGAAACTGGACCTAAATTTGGTTCTAACATTTGGTCTTTCGGAAATGTTCTATTCATCTTGCTTCTGTACTCCTTGGTCCGGTGTTTTTCTAGGCAATATGTACAACTTTTAACATATACTTTTCTAATTACTAACTTAAACATGTTGTGTAATTTTTATGAGTCCGAATTTTAAAAATTGAATGGAAGTTTTTATTACTACACCTGAATTAAAAATATTATGTTCATTACAATAAAAAAAACCCTTATTTATATTCTGATTATATATGTGAAATTTGAAAAGACAATTTTTGAACCAAAAGACCTCATTGAGCCGCGCGTTTTCATTCAACAAACATAATGATTTCGAACTTGTAGAGCATTAAACGCAATGAGACCCTTTGTCTCTCCAAGAATAAATTTCGCCTCTTTATTCTCTATAAAATTCAACACCAACTAGCCTTTTTCAACTCCATTTCAATATCCATTTCTCTACTCTCCTTCGTATTAGCATAAATAAAAAATCAAGCCCCTCCCTATTGCTCTGTTCTTCTCTAATCAAGATGAACACTGAAACTAATGATGCAATCATGGCAGAAGCCAATCCAGCACCACTCCCTCAAGCTATTGCTCAGGCAGAGGAGCCCTCCCTTCTTGATATCTTTCTACTGCTAAAACAAATCCAAGTCCGTATGGAAGAGGGATTCAAGAAGATCAATGACAAGCTCGAAAATCTTGAGGATACCATCAAGAACATGGAGAATGATTTCAAGGAGGTGAACAAGCGCATTGACAAGGTAGTCAAGGATGTGAAAAACATCGGCGACCCAATTAACCAGTTCCTGGATGGCTCTAACTCCGAACGTAGCGATTAGGGCATCTTTTTTAGAATCTTTTGTCTGCTTTTGGAATCTAATGCAATCTTAAGCATCGAGGGATTTCTAGTCCGTCCCTCTTCTTTTATAATTTCTTTTTGAAAGAAAGTAATGGAAATTTAATTTATGTTAATTTCATATTGTATTTAAATTAGATCTTTGTCTGTTGACTTTTATGAATATGTTAAAAACTGCCAACGAACTATTAAGACCAAGAAATTGCAACATTCGGATTTGTTCTTATTTTATGAATTTCTGAGTAGTCGTGGGAATTGGTCTTCTCAGAAGATGGATTGGTCCTTGTTCTAGTTTCATTGCCCCTGTGCTTTTCAGTACTAAGTTAATTCGATATTGAATTTGGATTACATTTTTTGACCGCTAACTTTGATGCATAGGTCAAGGTCTCACAAAGAAGTAGAAAGACCAAGAAATTGGAATGGTCAGTTTTTTTTTTTTTTTTTAGCGATTTCAAGGTAGAGCTGGCCTTTGGTCTTCCTAAGAGATGGATTGGTCCTTGTTCTCCTTTTCATTGGTCCTGTCTTTTCTAGTACAGAGCACCCAAGTTCTAGTTTAATTTGCAATTACTAATAATTGCATACAAGGTTAATCGTGTTACGAGAGAAAGTAGGGCCTAATCAATACGGAAATGCTTAAACCCCCCTACACCCTAAACACAATTTTTTTTTTTGGTTGAAATATTTTTAAACCAATTAGAAAATGAGACCCTAGACTAATTAGTTTTAAAAAATTTATACGGTTAATCGTGTTACGGGAGAAACTAGGCCCTAACCAACACGGAAATACTAAAACCCTAGCCTAATTGGTTTAAAAAAATTTATAAGTTTAATCGTGTTACGGGAGATCCTTGGCCCTAACCAACACGGAAATGCTTAAACCCCCCTAAACCCTAAACACAATTTTTTTTGGTTGAAATATTTTAAAATCAGTTAGCTTTACAAGACCCTAGCATAATAGGTTAAAAAAAATTTATAAGGTTAATCGTGTTACGGGAGAAACTAGGACCTAACCAACACGGAAAGGCTTAAACCCCCTAAACCCTAAACACAATTTTTTTTGTTGAAAATTTTTTTAAATCAATTAGGCTAGATTTTTGTTTACGAGACCCTAGCCTAATTGGTTTAAAAAAAATTATAAGGTTAATTGTGTTACGGGAGAAATTAGGCGCTAACCAACACGGAAATGCTTAAAACCCCTAAAAGCCTAATTTTTTTTCGGGGGAGATATCAGAGCGGGCGTGTATCAGGAGCGGGCGTGTGTGACGAGTGGCGGTGTGTGAGTTACGGCAGATGCTCACATACCATTCAGCTAGCGTGTTTTTCGGCCGCCTGTGTGGCCCTTCGTATATAAATTGGAAACCTTTTTTCGGGAGAGATATCGTAGCGGGCGTGTGTGAGGAGAAGCGGTGTGTGAGTTGCGGCAGATGCTCACGTAGCCTTCAATAGCATGTTTTTCGGCCGCCTGCGCGGCTCTTCCTATATAAATTGGAAACCTTTTTTTGGGAGACATATCGGAGCACGTGTGTGTGACGAGCGGGCGTGTGTGAGTAGTGGCAGATGCTCACATAGCCTTTAGCTATGGTGCTTTTCGGCCGCCTGCACGGCCCTTCGTATATAAATTGGAAACTTTTTCTGGGGGAGATATCGGAGCGGGCGTGTGTGAGGAGTCGCGTATACTTCACGGCAGATGCTCACATATCCTTCGCCTAGCGTGCTTTTCAGCCACCTCTGTGATATTTTGTACATAAATTGGAAACCTTTATTCGGGGGAGCTATCGGAGCGGGCGAGTGTGAGGAGCAGCGGTGTGTGAAATGCGGCAAATACTCATGTAGCCTTTAGCTAGCGTGCCTTTCAGCCGCCTGCGCGGCCCTTCGTATATAAATTTGAAACCCTTATTCAGGGCAGATATCAGAGAGGGGCGTGCGTGAGGAGTTGTGGATACTTCGTGGCAGATGCTCATGTAGCCTTCGGCTAGCGTGCTTTTTGGCTGCTTGCACGGATATTCGTATATAAATTGGAAACCTTTTTTCGAGAGAGATAACGGAGCGGGTGTGTACGATTAGCGGCAGATAATTTGCGACAGATGCTATCGTAGCCTTTGCCCAGCGTGCTTTTTGGCCGCCTGTGGCCCTTCGTACATAAATTGGAAACCTTTTTTTGGGGGAGATTATGGAGTGGGCGTGTGTAAGGAGCGGGCGTGTGTGAGGAGCGGCTGTGTGAGTTGCGGCAAATGCTCTACTATCGGCTAGCGTGCTTTTTGGCCGCCTATGCGGCCCTTCGTATATTAATTGGAAACATTTTTTCGGGGGAGATATCGGAGCGGCCAATTGTGAGGGGAGCGGGCATGTGTGAGGAGCGGCGGATACTTTGCGGCAGATGCTCACATAGCCTTCGGCTAGCGTGCTTTTCGACTGCCAGCGCGGCCCTTCATTTATAAATTGGAAATCTTTTTTCGGGGGAGATATCAGAGCGGGCGTGTTTGAGGAGCGGGTGTGTGTGAGGAGCGGCGGATATTTTGCCGCAGATGCTCACGTAGCCTTCGGCTACCGTGAAGTATGTAACCTTATCATTTCATTTTCACTTATCTTAATTCTTGGTAACCTTTTCCATTTCTTGCGCATGCTTAAGTAGTAGCCTTCTCCATTTAAACTACAAAATTAAATGCTTTATACTAGGAGACCCATATGAAATATGTATCATAGACCAATCAAAGATAATAAAGTAAGATTTCTTAATCTTCATCACAAATAAATCAATGTCATAATTTTATTTTTTTTAAAATAATAATAAACAAAAAACCGATTTTGTCTTTGTGAAATATGATTTGGTCAAAAAAAAAATTTTCGTCTACAAAGGACTCAATTGCCCTAATTCTGACTATAGGGGCTTGTTTGTGAAATATGATTTGGTCAAAACAGTCCAAAATCCATTTCCTCTCATCCTTCACGTTTGTATAATCGCTTTTCTCCTCCTTCGCGTTCGTAAATCCATTTCCCTTAGAACCCTAATTTTGGGGCATTTGGTGTGTCAAGTAGAAAGCCAATAGAGAAGTCAGTGGCAGAGCGGCCTGTATATTCCTGTCATTCTACGCTTTCATTGTAAAAATCACGAAACATTGAAAACTCCGCTAGCGACTTCGCTCCAGAAATTTAGCTCGTTCCTGTCCTTTTTCAGCTAGAATCAACCTTCTGATGCTATTTTTAACTAGCCTCTGACGATCCTCGTCGTTTCCGGTTAGTATTTTTTTATTTCAATAGCTTTTGTACAATATCATTGTTGTTTTGTTGTTTCCGGTATTGCGGTGCTATTGGGCTTGCTGAAAATCTATTTGGTGCTTGTATTTGTTGCTATTGGTCTTGAGTCTATTTGGTGTTTGTACTTGTTGGTATCGGTCTTTCTTGTTTGAATGTTGGTCTTATGCAAAAACTTGAGCCTTTCTATTTGTTGCTACGTAGCGGTCTTGGTTCTTATGCAGTTACCTTGATTTTGCAAAGATACTCTGTGGTTTTGCTAGTACATTACTAGTCTTGTGTCAGCAGATGGTCTTTGTAGTTATTGCTATGGGTCTTTGCTCTTCCTGAGATAGAATGTGGTCTTGTCGTGGCTTGTGAGTTTTGCACTATTAGCTTGGTCATCCTGAATACACTTTGGTGCTGATTGTTGGCACTACTGCTCTTGTGACAAACGGTTGGTCTTCCAGCTTGTTGCTATGAGTTTGGTGTGGTTGCATTAAATTCTATGCATGCAGGTACTGTAAATAGATTTGATTGTTGTTAGTTGTGCACCACCATTGGTTCTTCCCAATGACCAAAGAAAGCAAATCCACGACGAAAAAGCCCGAGGAAGCGCAAAGAACCTGAAACTGCAGTTGAGACCCAAGTGTCAAAAAAGGGTAAGGTCCAGAAGAAAAAGAAGGATGTTGTGCTCCATGGTCCAAAGGATATGGTTCGCGTGTTTGAAGAGGATCCCCTAAATGCTGTACCTCCTGAGGCTCCTGCTGAACCGCAAGAACATGAAAAGGCAACCAAGACATTCATCACCAGAATGACTCCCAGCATGTTGCTTGGGTTCATCGAACATATGAAAAAGAAAAGACCACAGCAGGTTGAGGCGGTGAAGGAGATAGGGTTTGGGGCGCTGCTGGAGTTGGACATCAAGACCGTGCCGCCCCAACTCTTTATCTTCCTGGCCGACCACTTTGAGCCCAGCTCAAGAAATCTATCATTCCCAAATGGAGAGCATTTCAATATTGAGGAAGAGGATATGCTTGCTATGCTTGATTGCCCTGTGGAAAGAAAGAAGTTGAGCTCTTCACACCATCTGAGTGCCTGGAAGAGGAACACGCTCCCTTTGTGGAGCAATGGAAGCGTAGGTTTGATCTTGAGGAAGGGAAAACGCAATGCAATGGTACGGTTCGATCCTTGTTGATAGAAAGGGAAGATGCTAGGGACGAGTTTAAGATTGATTTTGTTGTGTTTGCCATTGCGTGCTTCCTGTGGGGCTCATACGGGAAGTCTTGCCCGTTTCTTGTCCTCAAGTCACTCAAGAACATGAACCGGATCAAAGAGTACAACTTGTGCGCATTCATAATCAGGGCCCTGACTGATGAAATTGAGGATTGGAAAAAGCAAATCAGCTTCTCTGGACCCCTGCTGTTCTTTTTGGTAATGACTGCTCGTTCCTAGTCTTCCTATAAAACCGTCTGGTCTCAGTTGTTGTTAGTCCTGGTCCTTCCCAGATGGTCTATCTTTTTGAGATTTTTGTAGCTTGCATGGTCTTCCTGTGGGACACTTTGTTAGTAATTCCTTGGTTGTGATTGTTATTGACCACTTTGCAGCTGACGCACCTGGATAGGTGCCATTACAAGATGTAAAAGCACAAGAGAGCTGTGCCGATGATTGCTTGCTGGGACGAAAAAACCCTGCATAAGAGAGTGTCTGAAGAGCAAAATGTGGAGGGTTAAGATGAGTGAGTGTGCTAGACTGTCTCTGCAGTCCACAGGTAAAGGAAAAGAAGCATAAAAAGAAGAAGAGCAGAGACAGCAAAAAACAATCTTTCAAGACCAGCAAAGACTAGGAGGAAGTGAATGAAAAATATGTTGTGGACAGCTTGCGTTCACAAAGAAATCTACTGAGGTATGAATTCAGCTGTTTGTATTCAAGATTTATTAATCAGAACCGTATTTGTTGTCCTTGTTCTATGAAATACATCTGATAGTAATTGTTTCTGTCGCCAGCTGCTCGGCCATTACCACTCTTTAACTTGATTTCAAACATGACACAAAACTTTGCTGGTATTCAAGCTATTGAAAAGGAGCTTCAAATCCATCCAAGCCCTTCAATGAATAAACTTCTTCAAAACTTTACAGATGCTCTAATCTCCACTACAGCAGAACCACCAGCTGTAGAGACATCATCATGCCACGGCAATGGTATTTTGTATGAAGACGAGCAGTTTCTCAAGTCCATGGAAGTTTGCATGCAGATTGTGGACATGGTTATTTCAGAAAACAAAAAAGCAAATGACGATGTCGTTGCTTCTTAATGGAATACCTCTATTGCCCTTGTCTAGAATTCGCAATTTTGATGTAAGCCTGTATTAGTATCTAAGAAAATACACTTTTTATGTAGGCATGTATTAGTATATTGTGCTACAATGTTTCAGAAAATGCTAATTTAGAAGTGCTGTTGTGCTACCCCATATTATATAATATGTGGACTTGTATCTCAGAATGTTGTTTGTCTAGCTTCTTCTTTGCATTGTTGTAATCTTCCACACAGTAGCAACATGCTATAAGAACAAATATATGATATAAAAAAAATGCACAAATGGCCCGGTGGGAGTCTAATATGAAGAATGTCACCAAAAAATGCGTTGTTTACAGCCTCACATATTGAATTCTAATAAAGCTTACGTTTAAACGAGACATTGAACTACAACAGTGAGACCAAGATCCCAAAATGGAAAGGCCCCGGATAAAATGTAGAAAGACCAAAACCAGAAACAAAAATGTAGAAAAGACCAAAGACCAGACATTCTAAATGGCAAAGGTCATAAGTTTTAATACAACTTTTAAGAATGAGAGCCAAAAATGTATCAATAACTTATGACATATGCTGGAAATAGATATAGAAACGAGGCTCAAAGGCCAAAACATGACAATAAAATGTATGAATAGCTTATAACATATTGTGGAAATAGATATAGAAACAAGGCTTGCTACTATTAGAACATCAATCAAGACAGACCCAACATTTTGGCACACCATCTCATTACAGCAGCCTCCAACCTGGGATCAGTAACTGAATCAAAATTTTGAAATGGTGCCGAATTAGATGCATTTGAACCTGAAGCAGCTCGCTCTTGTTCAATCAAAGAATAAACTGCTTCTTTTGTTCTAACAACAGCAAGCCTTGCTTTCTTTCTGTGTCCTCCACCACATTGAGAAGCCTTTTCCACTGCATTTAATAATAGTTAATTTGTTACACAAAAAGCATTACAATCTACTCTGAAATTAATGGAGAATTAGGGGTGTTTCTTAGAATTAGTTCATTTTGCTTAACTAGTTTTGTGTTTTAGATTAAGTAAGGACCTAAGTGCATAACTGCTGGAAAAGAGGGGCTTTAGGAAAAAAAAATTAGGCTGCTGAAATCAAATTTTGTTGAGCTGGTCAAAGATATCTCCAAGATACAATTTAATGAGTGTGTCCCATCCAAGGGCATGCTTGTCCCCTTGGTTAGACTCCCAACCGCCCATGATGATCAATATTGCAGCTGATACCAGTGCTGGAGAAGGGCAAGAGACCAGTCAATTCTTGGATTCAAGACACAAAGCATTGGGAGGAATAAATAATTCACAAGTATGGGGAGGCTATCTTGGAAGAAGAACCGGCTTCAAAACTCTATAAAAGGAGCTGCATTCCCAACATGAACGGGGATCTGAGTGGACATACAACACACGAAACACCACAGAGAGAGAAAAAGAGAGCGGAGAGGGGAGAAAACTCCAAAGGAAGAAGAAGTCCAGTAGCAGAAAAAGAGGAGTAACAGATTGTCACTCAGGTGAGTGACCTGTTGCTCAGCCATCCAGATTTGCTTCTTCTTAATGTTTTCCTTCTTTTCTTGTATTTTCTGTAGTTTGTATGTGTAGTTAATTAGATTTCATTCTCTGGAACCTATTTAGTTTAAGTTTGTGATTGCATTCGGATGATTTTGTGTTTTGAAGTTAAAGCTTTCATCTACCTCTTGATTAAATTGGCCATTTGATTGATTGTGCATAGAACTAAGTGAATCCCGAAAGGGTAAACAAGGTTCAGAATCATTTAGCTTCAACTTATGACTTGCTGGTAACAATCCAAGGTTCTAATTGAGATAGGAATATACTTGGTTAGCATAAGCATTCATATAAGGCTTGAAAATTTCATGACTTTATGACTTGATTAATCATTGGAAAATAGCTTAATTGAGTTGATAAAGATACCTCTAGGAAAAATCGGAAGTGACTTAGAGATATATAAGTGCCTGAATGAGCATGAATTCATACCAAAAGAGTGCAACATTACAGCTTGATTACATAGGGAAAAGAGAATGAATATCTAGTTTGCAGAGTCAGTCCCTTGAGTCGGAATTCTCACTCCCATGAGTGAGGTTCCATTTGTGTTTCTTTGTCTTCAGTTCTGCAGAGTCACTTGCCTGAGGAACTTTACCCACTCGTGCAAGTGAGTGACAGTGTGCAACTTTCTTTCTTGTTTGTCCAATTTCGTGTTCCAGTTATTTGAAGTTTAACCCGTCCCTGTGGGATCGACTTGACTTATCCTATCTACAGTTTAAGTTGGTAAATTATTTTGGGGGTTTCGACAACCCACCAAAGGTGGCGCCGTTGCCGGGGACAGCGGAAAACTTCTTTTAACCAACACTATGCACCTTATAGTAGTTTTAATCCTTGTTATGCAACTAATGATTATTCCTCTTATGAGCAGGATTGCAACTACTGTACTCCACCAATGTATTCTTGCTATGAGGACAAAGAGAAGCAACACCAAATCGAGATGGAAGAGATTTACGAAGAAATGTTGCAGATGCGACATAGAACAGATTTGGCAGTCCAAAGAATGCAAGAAGCACAACGCCAAAAAGAGTTCCAAGAGATGAAAGATATGCTAAATGAGCTTGTGCAAAGTACTAAACGAATGAGTCTTCATCTCCAAACTATAATTGACAACAACTCAAGAAGAGAGAGACAAGAAGCTCATGAAAAAGTAATCTCATCAATGGAGGACAATGATGTAGAAGATGAACCAAGGGAGGTGGTACTACATCCACTACCTATACTTCCTCCACCACCATACCCACTCAAGGGAACAGAGAAACTCACTTGTGGGAGTGAGCTGGTAGAAATTGTGGTTGTGCTAAAAATTGATGAGACTTATCCTCCAAATGAAGAGGTGGTTGACTTGGGATTTATAGGTACATTGATGAATGAAGAAGAGTCAACTATCTCCATTGATGAGGGTCATGTTGATGGAGTCAAAGGTAAACATACTTGGGGAGCACAAGAAGAGATGGTTGATTTAGATCAATTTCAAGCCGAGAAAATCCCCAAAGTGTTGGAAGAGTGGAGCAAGAAAGATTTTCCTCTATGTTGGATAATTCAAAAGTATGCTTCCTGGAGGCATGATAGGCTAATTGATGGCACATTCTTGTGGTATCAAGATGGCTATTCTGAGTGACTTGAAGCCACTAGAGTTGATTATGGAATGCATCTTGCATTTCAACATTTTGCTTGCTTCGTGGGAGGCAACCCATGTTCTTTTCCTTTTAGTTTTTTTTTGTGTGATTTTAATTTTTCTTGTTTAATGTGTGTGCTTCCATGTGCAGAAGAAGTATCAATGTCATCCCAATTCAATTGGTAATCCAAAAATGCAGCAGATTCTGATATCAGTCACTCTGGAGAGTGAGAATAGTCACTCTCCCAAGTGTGCCTGCAACAAGCTGAGTGTTGTGGCTGGTTTGATTTCGATTTCTTTTAGTCTGCATAGGATCTGTGCTTTGTTTTAAGTTTGGGGGAATTGATGTCTACTCTGTTCACGCATGATTATTGTTAGTTTATTTTGTTTCTAACTTAATATGGGAATTTTGAAAACTGAAGCTGTTGACTTTGAAATTTTGTGTGTATTGCTGAAAGTTCTAAGACACTCTGGGAAGTGACTCATGTCACTCGGCAAAGTGACTCTGAACCTACTTGATGTTTGAAGTTAATTTATTTCTTTTACCTACCCATATATTTTGTTTTACCTTTCTGTTTTGTTTCTTTTTTAGGTTCTTGAGACATCTTTTGTATGTCATATCCCTTAGTAGCTTGTTAATTCTGAAATTTGGTGTGCTTAATGTGTACTTGCTAGGCTTTAGTCTGGGGTAAACTTCTAATATCTTTATGAGCATTGATGCCATATCTAGCAAGTTTAGGGAGAATTTGCAGAATTTAGCATGTTCGATTGCATATGAGTCACCTAGTTCTTTCTGAGCATTATTGTTAAAAGGCTAAATCTATTTATGGAACTATGGTGTTTCTGGTTTGTTGCTTTCTATGGTCTCTGTGCTTAACTGTATGAACCAAGGAACTTCATGAGCTTAATTTTTGATATCTTTTTTCTGTGTTTCAATTCTAATCCTTGGTACTTGAGAAAACTAAATTTGTAGTTAAAGAAGGACTGTCACTCCCACGACTGACCAAAGTCATTCCAACGAGTGACACTGCAGAAAAATAAAAATTCTGAACTCTTATAGCTGCTAAATCTTCTTTGTGTTCTGATGTTGCAATTCCAGGTTCTTGTACAAGGATGTCGTGATCCCTTGTATGGAGTATATTTCGACAACACAGAGCTTGCAACAAATCAAACAGATATGTTGAATGATGTGCATCATGAAGCCCTCCTCATCCATTTCAATTGCTCCAACTCAAGGAAGTTATCAGTCCTCTACCTCACTCACAGGAATGAAAATATCACTCCTGCGAGTGACCACACAGTTTTTGTCGTGATTTGTTTTTTGTTTCTGTGAACTGTTTTTGTTGTTATTTTTGTTTTTGTGTGATCTGTTTGTCAGCATTGGAGACAATGCTTTGAATAAGTTTGGGGGAGTAGTAAGGAGCATGCTTATAATTTTATTTTTTTTTTTGATTTTTTGTGAATGCTAGTTCTATGATAATTGGATATCTATGAAGACCAACATACTTAATTTCTTATATCTAATTCAAATTTTGATTTTACCTAACTCTTGGTTATCATCTCTTCACTACTTAAGCACACTTGCCTTTTATGCTTAGTTACATTGAAGTTTAGTTTTATAGCATGCTCTGTGGTATTCGAAATTGGCTAAAAATGTTTAAATGACTTTTCTTACTACCACTTGAATGTGAAGTGTGATTTGTGTACATGCTAAGAGTTGACTAAGGCAAGCTTAAATAACCTTCTCTAATACCTTCTTTGGAAATTGGTAGGCGGAATGCTCAAAAATGAGTAAATAAAAAGTTCAAAAGAACTTGAGGGAGTATAAGGTAGAGCATCAATGCTAAATCTCTTAGAGTGAAATGGCAACAATGAGTGATCCTTTGGCTGGGAAAACAAAGTCTCCTATCGAAACCTTTCGGTAGGAGGGGTCGGAAGTTGGAAAGAAAAAGAATCATGAGTCATAAATAGAAAAAGCCAAAAGACTCGGAGGTAAATAAAAGGGAATGAGGGAGAATAGTTGAAAATTAATGAATTGTGAGAGTCCTTATATCTCTGTGGCTGTATTGGCCACATTAGCATGATTGTGGTAAGAAAAAAAATGAGTCATAAGGCTAAGAATTCTCTAAATATGCACCATGAGCTGTTATTTACCTTATACTAATTTGTTACTTTGCATACTTGGCATGATTCACACACACACGGAGGTGATTTCGTAAAGACTAGGTGAAATTCGAATTTAGATGAAGATATAATTATTTTTCTTGCATCTGAGATGTTGTATCCGATTATCATATGAACTAGTTATGTTTGATAGTTGCTATGAAGTACTTGTGTGTTTGTTGTAGTGTCACTTGCCTGAGTGACTTTTGTCACTCAGGGGAGTCAGTGGTTAGCTTTTGTTTTCTTGTTTTTGTGTGTAGTTCTCAAGGGTTAGAATGTCTTGCTTGAGGACAAGCAACTCTTCCAGTTTGGGGGAGTTGATAATGGTTAATTTGTTACACAAAAAGCATTATAATCTACTCTGAAATTAATGGAGAATTAGGGGTGTTTCTTAGAATTAGTTCATTTTGCTTAACTAGTTTTGTGTTTTTACATAGGTAAGGACCTAAGTGCATAACTGCTGGAAAAGAGGGGCTTTAGGAACAAAAATTAGGCTGCTGAAATCAAATTTTGCTGAGCTGGTCAAAGATATTTCCGAGACACAATTTAATGAGTGTGTCCCATCCAAGGGCATGGTTGTCCCCTTCGTTAGACTCCCAACAGCCCATGATGATCAATGTTGCAGCTGATACCAGTGTTAGAAAAGGGTAAGAGACCAGTCAATTCTCGGATTCAAGACACAAACCATTGGGAGGAATAAATAATTACAAGTATGGGGAGGCTATCTTGGAAGAAGAACCGGCTTCAAAACTCTATAAAAGGAGCTACATTCCCAGCATGAAGGGGGATCTGAGTGGACATACAACACACAAAACACCACAGAGAGAGAAGAAGAGAGCAGAGAGAGAAGAAAACTCCAAAGGAAGAAGAAGTCCAGTAGCAAAAAAAGAGGAGTAACAGACCTCACGCGCCTGAGTGACCTTTGTCACTCAGGCGAGTGACCTGTTGCTCAGCCATCCAGATTTGCTTCTTCTTAATGTTTTCCTTCTTTTCTTGTATTTTCTGTAGTTTGTATGTGTAGTTAATTAGATTTCATTCTCTGGAACCTATGTAGTTTAAGTTTGTGATTGTATTCGGATGATTTTGTGTTTTGAAGTTAAAGCTTTCATCTACCTCTTGATTAAATTGGCCATTTGATTGATTGTGCATAGAACTAAGTGAATCCCGAAAGGGTAAACAAGGTTCAGAATCATTTAGCTTCAATTTATGACTTGCAGGTAACAATCCAAGGTTCTAATTGAGATAGGAATGTACTTACATAAGCATTCATTAAGGCTTGAAAACTTCATGACTTTATGACTTGATTAATCATTGGAAAATAGTTTAATTGAGTTGATAAAGATACCTCTAGGAAAATCAGAAGTGATTTAGAGATATATAAGTGCCTGAATGAGCATGAATTCATACCAAAAGAGTGCAACATTACAGCTTGATTACATAGGGAAAAGAGAATGAATATCTAGTTTGCAGAGTCAGTCCCTTGAGTCGAAATTCTCACTCCCATGAGTGAGGTTCCATTTGTCTTTCTTTGTCTTCAGTTCTGCAGAGTCACTTGCCTGAGTGACTTTACCCACTCGTGCAAGTGAGCGACAGTCTGCAACTTTCTTTCTTTTTTGTCCAATTTCGTGTTCCGGTTATTTGAAGTTTAACCCGTCCCTGTGGAATCCACCTGATTTATCCTATCTACAGCATTCCATACCCTTTTGTTGGTCAATTATTTTGGGGGCTTCAACAACCCACCAGCATTACATACCCTTTTGTTGTCACCACCTTTTTTCCTTCTTCCAGTAGGATTCAGCACCACATCCTTTGTATTTGAACCATTGTTCGACTCTAGAGTTGAACTAACATCGCCAACTGCTACTTGTACTCCGGTAGCCATCACCTTGAATGCATCTTCACAACACATTTGTGCTTTTGTACTCAACTCACTAGCTATAACCAAATCTGAGTTCTTAATCATGTTCATTTGTCCAAAGTGATGAAAAAACACCAAGGTAAAGGGAAAGAAGCATAAAAAGGAGAAGAGCAGAGACAACAAAAAACAATCTTCCAAGACCAGCAAAGACTAGGAGGAAGTGAATGAAAAATATGTTGTGGAAAGCTTGCTTTCACAAAGAAATCTACTGAGGTATGAATTCAGCTGTTTGTATTCAAGCTTTATTAATCATAAACCTATTTGTTGTCCTTGTTCTACGGAATACATCTGATAGTAATTGTTTCTGTCGCTAGCTGCTCGGCCATTACCACTCTTTAACTTGATTTCAAACATGACACAAAACTTTGCTGGTATCCAAACTGTTGAAAAGGAGCTTCAAATCCATCCAAGCCCTTCAATGAATAAACTTCTTCAAAACTTTACAGATTCTCTAATCTCCACTACAGCAAAGCCACCGACTGTAGAGACATAATCATGCCACGGCAATGGTATTTTGTATGAAGACGAACAGTTTCTCAAGTCCATGGAAGTGTGCATGCAGATTATGGACATGGTTAATTCAGAAAACAAAAAAGCAAATGACGATGTGGTTGCTTCTTAATGGAATAGCTCTGTTGCTCTTATGTCTTGAATTCGCAATTTTGATGTAAGCCCGTATTAGTATCTAAGAAAATACACTTTTTATGTGAGCATGTATTAGTATATTGTGCTACAATGTTTCAGAAAATGCTAATTTAGAAGTGCTGTTGTGCTACCCCATATTCCATAATATCTGTGGACTTGTATTTCAAAACGTTGTTTGTCTAGCTTCTTCTTTGCATTGTTGTAATCTTCCACACAGTAGCAACATGCTATAACAACAAATATATGATATAAAAAAAATACACAGATGGCCCGGTGGGAGTCTAATATGAAGAAGGTCACCAAAAAATGCGTTGTTTATATCCTCACATATTGAATTCTAATAAAGCTTAAGTTTAAACGAGACATTGAACTACAACATTGAGACCAAGATCCCAGAATGGAAAGGCCCCGGATAAAATGTAGAAAGACCAAAACCAAAAATAAAAATGTCGAAAAGACCAAAGACCAAAGATTCTAAATGGCAAAGGTCATAAGTTTTAATACAACTTTTAAGAATGAGAGCCAAAAATATATCAATAACTTATGACATATCCTAGAAATAGATATAGAAACGAGGCTCGAAGGCCAAAACATGACAATAAAATGTATGAATAGCTTATAACATATTGTGGAAATAGATATAGAAACAAGGCTTGCTGCTATTAGAACATCAATCAAGACAGACCCAACATTTTGGCACACCATGGTGCTGAATTAGATGCATTTGAACCTGAAGCAGCTCGCTCTTGTTCAATCGAAGAAAAAACTGCTTCTTGTTCTAACAGTAGCAAGCCTTGCTTTTTTTCTGCGTCTTCCACCACATTGAGAAGCCTTTTCCACTGCATTCCGTACCCTTTTGTTGTCAGCACCTTTTTTCCTTCTTCCAGCAGGATTCAACACCACATCCTTTGTATTTGAACCATTGTTCGGCTCTGGAGTAGAACTAACATCGCCAACTGCTGCTTGTACTCCGATAGCCATCACCTTTAATGCATCTTCACAACACATTTGTGCTTCTGTACTCAACTCACTAGCTATTACCAAATGTGAGAACTTCTTAATCATGTTCATTTGTCCAAAGTGATGAAAAAACACCAAGCTGCTGATTCAACGGTTGTTTCGCCAATGGTAAGTGAACCCTTTCACCATATCATTTTGTCCACCTCTTATATATGTACTGATCCGGCAAACTTCTTACGTTATTTACATTCAAAACACATACCCTCCCCCCCCCCAAAAAAAAAAAACAAACAAGAATAATAATACAAATAATAAGAAGACCACTAGTAATAATAGGAAAAGGCCAAACAAAAACTACATCAGACTCAAAAGACCAAACCAATGTCACAAGACCAGCAGTACTATCAAGCAGGACCAGAGTGTCCTCCAGCAAAGACCAAGAATGATAGAAGGACCAGGAGGTTACCTGTCCCAAAACTACTCAAATTCATTCACACTGCTGGTGTACTTCAGAAGGTAATTGAACAAAGTCACGAAACCTTTCTTCTGCCTCAGAAACATAATATGCTTTTTACTATTTTCTGAAATATGCCACAAGCACCATCTATGGCGAGCAAAGGGGAAAGAGATCTTTATTGCAGCCGCCATTGCATGAGCTTGATCTGTCATGATAGTAATAGGTGGTTTTCCACTCATGGATTCCTTGAATTTCTCGAAAAGCCAACAAAAACCATCCTTTCGTTTTGGGGAAAACCACAACCAAACATCAAATTCTTATTGTGTTGTTCATTCCAACAAAAGGGGCACATATCATCCCATACTTATTGGTTCAATAGGTTGTATCAAACACAACCAAACCCCCAAAGTACTCATAATCAGACCTCATTCTACCATCCCTCCAAAACAAACCACAAAGTCTTGAATCATTGTCAAGTAAATATCTAAAATAGAAATCAACTTCATATCTCTCTCGTTCTCAAAATATATTGATCAAATTACTACAATCTCTCCCATCCCAATCGAAGCCTCTATATGTTGCTCTCTCATTTAACATGTTCCTCAAGGTGCAAGTACTCTCTTCAACAGAATAATTATTCCTATAAAGCCTATAGTCTGTTGTCGGAGCAATACCACTCTCATCCATAACTCTAAAATACCTTGAATCATTTTTGGGAATACTCCTATGGGAACGCAACAAATTTATCTTATCCGGTGGACATAAAGGATGAAAATGATTCAATTCATGTTTGGTAACCGTCCACACACCTCCATCATCCCCCTTGAAGAAGATACAAGCCCCACATCCAACAGGAAAATCAACCTTTGTAAAAGCAACTTTGTTGTTTTCATCCCGAAACCTGTGTTTGTGACAAAGATACTCCTTCCATGTTATTTGCTTTGTCCTGTTCTACCGATCCTACTGACCTCTTCTAACACTAAACACAACTTTGGCTGCAGGCATTGTACACGTCATATGCCTCTTTTTCTGAATGCACAACACGGCCCTCTAAACTTAAGCTTAAATCTTCATCTGAGGTCACAACATTTCCACTTCCTTCATTTGGGATACACATTCACTTCTTTCACCTGAGAAATGCAGAACAAACTTAAATATATAATTAAAAATAGAACAGAAAATTGACACTGCAGGAAAGTCCAAAAGACCAAGAGAAATAAAAAAACAAAACAGAGCTGCGACAAAAACACAATGTCGAGAACAAGGCTCTGCAAGGAATACTTCTCGACCAATAGATTACAATGCAAGACCCTGAACCCAATCAACAACAGGCCTACATAAATCTAAACACATCTAAATGCATCACAACAATAACACATGTGCAGAATACATGAAAACACATCTAATGCACAACAACAAGAACACATGTGCATATCACATCACCTTGAAAGAATCGCCTAAAATCCAAGAAGGCAAAAAACAAAATAGACCCGCATCGAAAACACACTTCCTAGAACAAGACTCTGCAAAAGTTATTGCAAGACCAAGAGATTACACTGCATCACCCTCACCCCATCAACAACACACCAACAAAAATCCAAACACATCTAATGGATCACAATGCAATACAAACAGTAAAACAACCGCAACAAAACACAAATGCACACCACAAAGACAGTGGACATGATATTGACGGACCAACAAGTTACACAAAGTGACCAATCACCGAAAAACCAACGATCCAAAAAAACTTCACACCTGAACAATCTACCCTGTTGGAATCTGCTTCCTCTCCTTCTTCAATCTCATCACGAGACACATCGTCCAATACACCTTCAACGCCAAGATCTGGAACAACTTCAAACTCATCTTCAAGTCCATTGCCACCGTCTAATATATCTTCAATACGATCACCATCATCGTCCACATCATCGACATCTTCTTCAGTCAAATCGCATGAGAAATCCTTGGAATAATTGCTTCTTGCTTCTCCGATTGATCCGAAATATGTATAATCAAAATTATCAAATTGTTTCAAATATGTCGAATCTTCACAACTTAAGAAGCTCAAATCATGATGTTCTAGCAAATCTTTTCCTTTCTCGACGTCCCTCACCAAATCAACAAATGACGGCGTTGGCATTAGATGATCATCTAGCCTCATCATTCTGATCGTCAAGGGAAAATTTTGAAAGAATTGGGGGAAAAATTTGAATTTGGAAACAGGGACGAAGAAGTCAAATAGTCAAATATATACCTGTGCGTAAGTCCCCTAAAATATGTACGCGCACAGGAGGAAGCGTCACCCACGCACCATTAAGTGCAGCTTGCACGTTGCACTTAATGCGCAAGGTATAATTTCCATCTCGATCATATTTACGCACGTAAAATCTGTAGAAAAAATTACCTAGCTAAGGACTCAAATAACTTATGATGGATGCATGTGTTAGTAAAAGTGTATAGGGAGAAGTATTTGTGATGACAATAAGAACTCAAGAAAGAGGGAATTTTGAGGCACGTGAAAACGCGTTTTTCTTAAAACAGGTTCGCTCTCTCTCACAGAGTGCTAGAGGATGTAAAAGTGTTTGTTTCCCAGGATACAACGGATGACGTGATATTAGTCTTGCACTTAGACAAAATCACCAGCGAACTGGAACCAACAAAAATGATGAACACCATTGGAAGGCTAATGGATATTTTTGGTGAGAATAGAAAAGACAAAGGCTTTTTTTTTTCTTAGTGTGGAATTCTGGAGAATAAGCTCATTCATATAGGAAAGAGACAGTGCATTCAAAAGGTCAAAACCATTATGCAATTCCACTTTAATTCTCTTAAAGATAGAAATTCAATGACCATTGCATCCTCATTAAAGAAATTCAACAGCCATAAACAAAACTAAATGGCATATTAAATTTCAGTTATAATCTCTCTATTTAGTTATTGGAAGAATTATATCCAGTTGTAAAACCCGGGTTGATCAGGTCCGTGAATTACATCTTGTCATTCATGTATGTAGGCACACCTACACACGGTCAAACTATTTGACAACTATTATTTTCCAATCTCATGAAAAACTAATTTCTCATTCAAACTTTAACTTATTTCCATACAACATTTTCTCCATTCAACTAAGAATCATAAATTCTTTCATAACAAAGAATTTCCAAGTTTTCTAAAAATTTATCTCTTCTTTGAGATTAATGCATCTACCATTATTTTCTTACTATTTACACAAACATTAAATAGTAAATTACAATGGTTTTCTAAAGTACCTTACTCATACATTTATGTGATATTCATACTCAATGCATGATTTCAAAACAAGTGTTTTGACAATATATATAATCCAAATATATATTAGGTTTCTAGTCTAGCAATATAGGGATTATAAGAAATGCAATCAAGAATGAATTAGAACCCGCCATTATATGAATAAAGTGTAATTAACAATTTATCATAACCAATTAAATACTTTCAGTTTGGCCAAAAAGGAGACTAGAGAAAACATTTCCAAAGTCATTACTCTGTATTTAGTGCCGCTTTAATTGCCGGTTATGACCAAAAATATTTTGTAACTCTTATCCTTAAATAAAAATATTTTGTAATTTAATTTGGTATATTAAAATGCAGTAAATGCATTCATTTAAATGCTAAACCATATGCTTGAGCATCCAGTACTATTATCAAAATTCACATTTTGATCCCAAGTACAGTACTATTCAAAATATGCATTTTTCTCCCAGTGCAAACTCTCTCGGGCAACGATATGCCATCATAAAATAAGTTCATGCAGCTTTGTTATTTTCAAGAATGGGGAAGCATTATTGAGTGCATTAACAACACTTGTAGCTCACAAAACATTATGTATGTAGTTTACTGAGAGCCTAAAACAAACAGCCATTTTGTATTGATACTAAATTCTTATGGTTTTCTTGGTGCAAGCATGCATAATGATACATTAATTTAAACAGTTAATGGAGAAAAATTATGATTTCAAAATGGAAAATCCCATCAGTGGCTCTGAACCATATCAATCAACTTTACCATCTACAGCCACAACGGGAAAAAACATAAATATTTCAGTTCTTTTTCCTTTTTTTTTTCATACACACCCAATGCATTATATTGGAACATTTATGTGCAATAGGGGAAATAGTACTTAATTTCCATTAATCATTTCCCTCCTTACTATAACATGATAATAAATTTCTTACTTGATGATAAGAAAACAAAACCAATGTATTTATTGCACAAAACCAATCAAAGCCTTTTAAGGCCAACAAATATATTTATTGCCATTATGAGATTAATATCAACCGTACTTTAGCACCATATGCAAACAGTAAAATATTGGGTAATGAACTTCCATATTCTTGTTCGTTAAAGAATATACATCATCACAACACAAGTATTTCCTTGGTGAATTTTATTTTACACACAAAGAAAAACTATATAAAATTAAGACTACATCTGCAATATTTAAATGAACCAAAAACCAAAGTTGTGGCCTTTCATTTTGCTTCAAGTTATAAGCAATTCATATTTCATTAATCAAGGCATGGTTCCTCTTCATACAGTAATCACTAAACATTCATTTCTTTCCTTGCTTAAAATGATTGAAAAACTCACATTCACACATGAACAAGCACACATTGAAATTGTCATGTGCTTTCCAAAATACTATAAACATATTTTGTAGGCAAACCAAATTCCTCTTTACTTAGACTTACATTGATTAGAGACAAGAAATGGGTAGATTGATCCCTTCCATCATAAACTTTTCCTTTGAGTATTTTCCATGGTAGATTATAAAATGTATGCTCATTTGATCTCCCTTCAATTTTGCCTACATAAAAAAAGATAGAAAACCGTCATACTGTCAAACAAAAATTTCTGTCGATTTTGTGTCAATTGGTTCATCGTCCGACAGAGAAGTCGACATCCGTATCTATGCCTTTATGTCTGGTTTCGTCGATCTGCTCCTCAATTAGCAATAAGTCGACTTAGCGCTTGACAACAGATGACAAAATTCCATTTTAGGCATATTTTCGAGCCAATTTGAATTTAATCATCTCCTCGCAAATCACTCAAGATCTTCACTGATCCAAAGACCATTATGGTTGCCATCACAAACACACACAAAAAAAATCTCTTTTAAGATTGTTAGTAAAAGTGTATAGGGACAAGTATTTGTAATGACAACAAGAACTCAAGAAAGAGGGAATTCCGAGGTACGTGAAAACACGTTTTCCTTAAAACAGATTCGCTCTCTCTCACAGAGTGCTAGAAGATGTAAAAGCGTCTGTTTCCCAGGATACAACGGATGACGTGATATTGTTCTTGCACTTAGACAAAATCACCAGCGAACTGGAACCAACAAAAATGATGAACACCAATGGAAGGCTAATGGATATTTTTGGTAAGGAGAATAGAAAAGACAAAGGAATTTTTTTTTCTTAGTGTGGGAATTCTGGAGAATAAGCTCATTCATATAGGAAAGAGAGAGTGCATTCAAATGGTCAAAATCGTTATGCATTTCCACTTTGATTCTCTTAAAGATATAAATTCAATGACCATTACATCCTCATTAAAAGAAATTCAACAGCCATAAAAAAAATAAATGGCATATTAAATTTCAGTCATAATCTCTCTATTTAGTGATTGGAAGAAATATATACAGTAGTAAAACCCGGGTTGATCAGGTCCGTGAATTACATCCCGTCATTCATGTATGTAGGCAGACCTACACACGGTCAAATTATTTGACAACTATTATTTTCCAATCTCATGAAAAACTAATTTCTCATTCAAACTTTAGCTTATTTCCAACAGCATGTAATCCAAAGAATTTGAGATTCTTTGTTGAAAATTATTAGAAGTAACAACAAAGTAAAAGATCATTATTCTGCTAAAACATGAAAAAATAATTAAAATATATGAGTGTTAAATGTATACCTCTAAATCATGTGATAATAAACTCTTGCTGTCAATATTAAACCATCTACTATGTAGTTCATGGAAAAATATGGTTTAGGATAAGGCAATTTATATGGTCGATGGCGTTCACCATATATAGTAGACTTATTTCTGGAATTATATTAAATGTATTTAAAAAGAGAATGATTTTTATGTTCTTCCAAAAATAAAACCCACACACTGCTAACTCATTTTATTTTCCTAAATTTTTCTCCTTGATTTTATCATCCACTCAATCGTGTATCAAATCAAAACTGTGAATGATTAATTTTTACCTGGATTTCTTCCATATATATCGTATGCAACTATACGTCTATATACATATATAAAAGAAAAAATCATAAATCTTAAATGCCAATAGTATGAACTTGACTATATTAATTTACTAACTGTAACATCCCAGCCGCATTGATTGGTCCAACAACTTTTAGGCTTTTATCCTTGCTAGCCCAAAATGGTTAACCCAAGTTGTTATCAGTTTATGAGCCTGAGACTTATGTAGAGGTCATTCACTTTGTCACCCACCTCCTTGGGATTTTTGCGTGCTCGCAAAGCCCAACAAGAAAGAATGTGGCCCAGTCTTTCATCCGAATAGGACTCTAGATGTAGCTCCCGTGCTTCGCTGCAGGTACTCAACCCGTTAGTGGGTTCAAGAGGCGTGTCCGCACGTAGCACTTAGCTCTGAGACCAAAGTCCGTGTTGATACCATTTGTAACATCCAGTCTCATAAACTGGCTCAACAACTTTCAGGCTTTTGTCCTCGCTAGCCCAAAATGGTTAACCCAAGTTGTTTGTAGTTTATGAGCCTGAGACTTATATAAAGGTCATTGATACCATTTCAGGCTTTGATACCATTTGTAACATCCCAGTCCCATAGACTGGCCCAACAACTTTCAGGCTTTCGTCCTCTCTAGCCCAAAATGGTTAACCCAAGTTGTTAGTAATTTATGGACCTAAGGCTTATATAAAGGTCATTCACTTTGTCAGGTGACGATGTGGGACAGGTTGTTACACTAACTTATATAAAGGTCTATTTTTTATTCTCACAATTTAATACGAACATTACTTGATATACATATGAATATTTCTAAATTAACTCATAAGTAAATATGGCAAGTTATTCACTTCAACATATGAAATTATTACTATAAATGCCATAAACATTACTTATTATATGTATTAATGATT